CCCCAAAACCCCAAAACCCCAAAACCCCAAAACCCCAAAACCCCAAAACCCCAATCATTTTTGACAAAGTTGAACTTCAGATATTAAAGCCAGAGCATGTTGTTTGTCTTACTCTGAGAGCTCAGCTTCATCACGGTATTCTTCTCCTTGTTTTTTCTCGAGTTGCCAGATAGTATGAATGTCAAAGCATCCTTCTTTCTCGAGCTCGCTGAACATCTCAAATAGCTTTATCTGGTCTTCTTTTGAGAAAGACACTTCTTCAGCATTTTTCATGTTAATCCTGAAATTCTGCAACTCATTGAGACAATTGAATATCTTATTTCGGACCTTTACTAGTGATTTTACTAACCTTCTAATTTCGCTGACTAACTTCTGGTGACGCTTGCCATGATTTTTAGAGAACTCAAGGAAATTCTTGGACATTTTTGTGTTCAAGATCTTATCAACAATTTCATTACCAGTGATTGCTATTTGATGGTTAGAATTTTTAAGAGAGAATTAAACTGAAACACCAATCAATATTGTTTAAGAATTATCTAGCTAATTAACCAATGTTTGAGATATGTTAGAATGAAGGTTACATTATCCAGCTCAAATTATCGAAAAAGCAAAATTTATTAATATAACATAAACCCCTCATTCGTGTCTGGTTATAAACCTGAAGAAATGATTAATAGAAAGATAATAATTAAGATCTTACTCTTTCCATTTGCAAACTTGTTACGATCATGTTTCATTGCTCTTATTCATCGGGCCAATGGGATTTTATCAAAAAGATACAGCGCTCCTTTGTTTTCGAGTGGCAAAATATTCTCCAGAAAACTTTTGAATAGTTCTCTCAACAACTCCACTCTCTCACTTCCAAAAGCTCCTCTTGTATCTTTAGTATTCTCGATTGAAGAATATTTCACAGTACTCTCATCCTTCCTGTACATTTTAGGCAGAGACTTCAGTGCATATTGATCTTCTTTATGTAATTTCTCAAGCTTGGCTGTCTCAGACTGACTCAGTCTCGAAACCATACTAATCCTATCAACCAAGTCATCATTCTGAATACCTACAAGTCCATCATCACAAAATTACTCTTCGGTCTCAAAGTCTCTTTCTCATACACCTCAAGTCTCTCCTTCAGTTCTTTTATCTCTATCTTCATAGTCGCATTCTCTTTCTCAAGACTCTGATAATATTTCTTCTTGCGTTCTCTGTGAAGTTTGGCTCTTTCCTTCCCTGAAATCCCAGCTGTGTTCTCTAAAATCTCTTCTTTGCCCTCTTCTTTTTTCATTCTTTTCTTCATGGGTTCACTCATGGGTCTATGGAAGGTGGGTTTTTAGTGTTTTAAGTGGAAATTTTGAAAGGTTTATGTAACACCATCTCTAAGCCTAAGTCTAATCCCTTCAAGCATCCATTCCTATCTTCCATACCTTCTAAAATTTCCAAAATTCAATATATTATTTTATCCCAGGGGTTTTGGGGTTTTGGGGTTTTGGGGTTTTGGGG